GTCCCAGCATTGTATGCAGCGATGCGAGTAGGTCAATGGTCTAACGACTATGGCATGCGTCCACATGAGTACACCCCCCCCCACCCCCCCCTGAGAAGTATGGGAAGGAAATAAGAAGGTAGTGAAAGAACTCGAGGCGGCGCAGATGATTGCAGCGAAAATCATCCTAGGATGCTCCAAGCGCACAAGTGATGCAGCCGAAAGGGCAGAATTGGGGATCCAATCCCTACGGTCGGGAAGAGACGCAAGGAAGCTGACATGGCAGTATCGCATGTGCGGGATGGGAGAGGAGAGGTTGCCGAGAATAGTATGGGAGGTGAAGTGGGCAAACAAAAAGAGGGGCAGACAACCCACGGAATGGGTCAAGGTTGTAGAGGACGTATGGAAGGGGTTCGACATCGACGAAGATGAAACGCTGGAAACGGACGGTCTACAGGGGTTCAAGGAGAAGATATCTGTTGCTTGTGCCGAGAGAGAAGCACAGAATCTAAGGAAAGAAACCAAGGATAAGGAGGGTCTAGAAGTGTACGAAATATTGAAAGAAGGAATAGGGTTCAAGGATTACCTACTACATGGACCAATGGATGCAGGGACAAAGCTTAAGGTCAAATTCAGGACCGGGGACATAGGCCTTCGAGAACGTCGACGAAGACATAGGACGGTAGACGACGAAGACGACAAGTTCAAATGTGATTGTGGCTTCGAATGCGAAGACCGTGTTCATGTAGTCGCGGAATGTCCGTGGTACGAAGAGGAGAGGGAAGTGTACATGACTGAGCTGGGAAAAATACAAGGAACGTACAGGGAGATGTTTGAGGCATGGAATAGAGAGGAGAGGACGGTAGCTGTACTGGGGAGTAGGAAGTGGTTTGAAAAGGCGGGAAGGGATATCGTCAGGATAGACAAACTAGGGAAGACATTTTTGAGCCACCTTTGGCAAAGTAGGAAGGAACGATTGGTCATAGGTGATCGGTCCTGTGGGAACGATGCCCCGTCCTCTCGAGGACGCGTGGTCAATGGTCTAATCGCCAAGGCATGCAAAACATAAGAGTATGCCCCCCCCCCCCCCCCCCCGCCCCGCT